AAAAAAAAAGTATAGTACCAAGAAACAATAAATGTAAAAAGAAACCAAAAAGGGCAGGAACAAAAGGCAATGGGCAAGAAAGTCCAACAACTCACCTCACTTCTTAACGCGGCAGTGGCTGTTTGACGCTCGGCTGGGTCAATTGCTAGAAGAGTATCGATAAGGGGCAGTGACGATGGTGGGAAATCTTTAAATGTCTCTCTTATGCATCTCTTGTAAGGTTCTCTGGGCTTGAATAGGGTTGCGTTAGGCAACTTTGATTTTTTCCAGTATTCATCTGATGGTGAACCACATAACTTGTATATTTTATGTAACTGCTCCACCTAAGAGCCAGAATAGTTTACAGTTAATAGCAGATGCAGTACAAAGAAAGTTTAGATTTATATTCATTACCAAGATCCAATACAGAGATGAGAGAGAACATCAAAAGCTTATCAAGATTTGATATTCTAGTTCATAAGTGTGTAGACATCAACCTCAATTATGAGTATGTATTTTGCAAAAAATGGAATGGAATCAACTTATTGAAATGAATAAATGAAGTCAACCTCAAGAATTATTGTACTTCAAAAAGTCACAAAGCCACAGGTCAATAAACGAAAACTACATTTTTTTGATATGTCCAATGATGGGTTATACAACAGAAAATAGCCCTTCCCTTTTCAAACACCTCTACAGCCATCCTAGGATTTGAACTTAATATCTCCAATGTGGAGGCTCAAGCCCTTAGTCACTGGAACGTAACTAGGGGACAACAAAACTATCTTTACAGGATCAACCATCTAAACAAAATTGGCAGCCAGTCATCTTTTAGACATATTTATGTCCTTTAAGAGTTTCTAAGATATCATTTAATCATTAATCTAAGCATTCACATTGAATATCTATAAGGCCTAGTCTTTCCCAAAGCATCTTCAACGTTTATTAACTAAGATATCTCAAGAGGCTTAATATAAAAGAAAATAGTTGCAAAATAAACTGTAAATGAAGCAAAGAATTACCTCTGTACGACCAGGCATAATGGGCTTCCCAGCCAAAAGCTCAGCTAAAATGCATCCTGCACTCCACAGGTCCACACCTACACCATAATCAGTAGCCCCAAGAAGAAGCTCAGGAGCTCTGTACCACAGGGTAACCACCCTACTAGTCATAGGGTGCTTGCGATTTGGATCAAAAAATGTTGCCAATCCAAAATCAGCAATCTTAAGCACTCCTCCACTATCAATAAGTAGATTTGATCCCTTAATGTCACGGTGAAGTACACCCCGGTTGTGACAGTGCTCAAGTCCAGAAAGTAGCTGATGCATGTAACATTTTACCTGCATTGTTAACACAGATTAAACATAGTTCTATTGTCACTAGACCCACTACTGCCAAGGATGTATACAGGGGAATGTACCTTAAGTTAAATTATAGGTGTTGAGGCTAACCTGTGGTTCTGTAAACTTGACAACTGGGCTCGCAGCAAGTCCAGCCAGATCATGATCCATATACTGAAATACCAGGTACAAACTACAAGACATCCTTGAAGTGACCAAACCTTCTAATTTTACAACATTTGGATGATCTAGTCTCCGCAATATAAGAATCTCCCTAGCCATAAATTTCACACTCTCAGGTTCGAGATTATCAAACCGAACCTTCTTTAGGGCAACAATTTTACCCGATAAAATATCTTTAGCTTTATACACGTTGCTGTATGTCCCTTGTCCAATCTGGCACCAATGAGCAAAAGTAACTATCAGAATGAGAAATGCCAAATTAACCGAGACCCACAATATATACAACAAATGACTTTCTCAGAAGGTTGCCAAAAAATGCAGTCGCCTTCATTCCATTACAAAATTGAACAGTATCTATAAACATTGAGGCAAACAAAATATAAACTGACCCAAGATTAATCATGTTCTCCTTCATTTCAAAGAAGACAAAACACAAAACTTACCTTATCAATCTTCTCAAAGCTATCAGCCCGCCGAGGAATCCACCCATTGAGTGCCTCTCCACAGGCATCTGACAACCAAGCCGGCCACCCAGCCGCCACCTGCTCCCCGCGCAAATGCTTGGACGGGTTACTCAACCTCGGGTTTGGCTTTGACCTCCTTCTCTCCCCCCTTTGTTTTCTCTCCCCATCAGCTCTTTCCTCCTGCACATCCTCTTTGTGAACCTCCACGGTAGTATCTGCCTTGGACACAGTAACATCCTCTATCCTCCGACTGGATTCGACCCTACCCTTCTTCTCCTCCCTAGTCTCTGAAACCACACCTGAAGTTGTCTCCTTTCCCAGAACACACCCCATTTCTTGAATCTAAGCCTCATCTCCCAACATATTAAATATGGGTATCTCGAATCAGAATGAAATCAGTAATCCCCGCAAATCAGGGCACTAAACACGCATGATCCAGCTGCTAAATCTTCCCCCAAAAAAAAAAAAAATCCAAAAATAAGAATTTGCTAGGAAAATCATAAACTCCACTGCAAAGATTCAAACTTCCCAAAATCAATCAAGAAAAAACAGCAAAACATAATGATCTAGAGCTCCATACATCAAATATATGCGCTTAGAGTAAGACTGATAGAGAGCTTCCAAATCAAATAGGAAGTAAAAAAACAATCTGCAAAATGGGAAAAGAAGAGTTTTTGGGAGAGAAAATGGAAGAGTAAGGAGATGAAGTATTGGGGTGAGGGAGAAAGAAAAGAAATTGATACTTACTGTAATTGAATCTGAGAGATTTGTTGAAGTGTTTCAATTGGCAAGCGGGTTTTGGTTTGTTCTTCTTTGTAGTTTTGGAATTTTTTTTTCTTTAAATATTTGTGTT